AGTTTGGATCTTTTTTGTACATGAGGTGAAAGGTTTTGTGCTTTTTGATATCAAAATTTGATGTTTTAAAGTTTTCATTTGGGTTTTATGGTAGCATGAGCTTTTGATTTTATGTTGTTTGCATGTGATTCTTTTGATGGGTTTGTTCTTGTTTATGTTTTGTGGGGGTTTGAGGGTTTATTTGGTGGGTTTGGTGTTATTTTGCAGTATAAAAGTTGGATCTTTTTCGTACATGAGGTGGAAGGCTTAGCTTTTTTGAGCTCAAAATTTGATGTTTAAATTTCTTTTATTTGGGTTTTTTGTTGCAATTATTGTTCTGTTAACAAATATCAGTAATCAGTTATCATAAGTAGTATGTATTGAGTATTGTGGTGTTGTTCATTATATGTTGTTCATTTCGTGTCGTTGTTTTTTTTTTTAATAAGGTTTACGGACGCGAAAATCCATCCAAAACCGAGAAAGGCACTGGAAATCCAGCTTGGAATACGAAAAATGGTAAATTCGAATCATGTCGACCGGTATTCTTTATTTGGTTCTATCGTAAATGTTCGGTTTTTCGAATTTATAATAGTAATCTTATGTGATGTACATTATAGCTAAAAGTTTTATCTATCCTTTTATGGTAACACTCTTCTTGCACTGCAGGCCAATTGTGTACTAACCATGTTCTTTATGATCTTCGAAATTTCTAAAACTACGTCTTATCCACAATAAAGATTCATAGTACTCGATTTAATTACCGTGTATTTCTATATAAGAACTTGTGTTTTGTTGATATCTAAGTGAGTTTGTTAGTGAACTCAAAACATGTGGATGAATTTCACTAAGGATCTTATTATTTTCTTGATTTTATAACAAAGCAAATGTTACTTTTTTTTTATATGTGAGTGGTCAAGTAAAGAAAAGTCTCCATGTTCTTTATTCTTTTTTTCAGATAACAATGCTGTAGTTGGTGAAGGCCAAGGTAGCAAATCCTCGATCAACTCGCATTTTCTCGATGAAAAAACGCCGCCTTTTCATTACAGCTCGTCGATTTACTACGGTGGCCAAGATATCTACCATCCACCTCCCGAGCCATCCAAATCCCCGGTTTTTAGCACCGTAAGTGATTCTTAACGTAAATAATCCCTTTTAAGAGGGATCAGTGCTAATCACCAATCAGGACTTGTTATTTATTTATAAAATGTGCTTTTTTTTCTCTCTTTTCGTTAATTAGTTCAACAAGGATGGAGGAGAAGATGACCCGGGCACTGCTTCACGAGGCAATTGGTGGCAGGGTATGTATATATTGTTCTATTGCTTACAGAAAATTTCCGTTCGATTTTTACGCGTTTTTTTTCTCGTCTTTGTATTGATCTTTGTTTCTTTCCCTTCATGGCAGGATCTCTTTACTATTAGGAGATGATCATGGCATGTAATTTACATATATTACTTATCTAGGTAATTTTTTCTCTTCTTTCTTCCTGAAATTTTACATTTTCTTTGTGCAAGAAATAAATGTAGTTTGTCAGGCAGTGAATGGTCTTATATCTACTGCTGAGCTCCCATGAGCCGAAGGCATGGGTCGATTTAAGTGCAATAAATAATATTTATCTTTTTTTTTTTTCACTCTTCTTTTTCGTCGTTTTTCGTCATTAATTTGTGCTGAGCCGAAAGCATGGGTCGAGAGCATGGGCCTATTTAGTATCATCACATCATTATTTTCGTCGTCGTGCTTTTGTTTTTTTATCCGAGTATATAATTCTCTTCGATTTTTGTTTTTTTTTTTTTGGACAGGAAGATATATATATGTGTGTGCAGATGAAGAGCAGCAGTTTATTCTCCTGCTTTTTTCGAATAGGGAGATGGAAAAAACGAAAGTATCATACGGTTATAGTTGAAAGACAGCTTTCTTTTGTCTTCCGCCGTTTGATGACCTTGCTAATATTAAGCATTTTAGCTATATTTCGTGCTTTCGGTTCTAAATAAAAAAAGTTGGGAGATATATATTTAGTATAAACTCTCGGCTCGTGTGTTGTAATCTTTTGGCCAAGACTCTTAATTAGCCAAACCGTATGTGTGTTTTCCGGTTTAGTCGGTTTGCTTTTCGACTTGTTCTAAGTAAATATATAAGAAGTGGTGATCGTTTTTTCTGCTTTTAACCGAATATTAATGTTTTAACTTGTGTTGAGATCGTTATCGAATGCTATATCATTATCTGCTACTTTTCTCGTTCGTTACATGTTATGTTTCTTCAGATTCCGGTCGGTACAGTTTTTTTTTTCAGAATATTATTAGCATTTGTTGCCTGTGGTGTAAGGTGAAAGGAATTTATCCCTTTTCTGGGGATTTTTTTTTGCAACTGGGTTTTATAATTGTTTGGACATAATGCATTTCACTTGTGGTTGTGGTTATAATATGCCTAAAGAGAATCACAACAAAAAATATATTCAATCATTTTTTCTGCAGTTCTTGTTAGTTTCAT